CGCGGGGCTGGCCGGCAGCGAGGACCCGAGCGTGGCCTCCCTAGGAGCCCCCCTGGGGCCAGGCTTTCACTCCCTGCGGCAGCCCAGCTATGAGGAGGTAAGCACCTCGGCTGTCCTCCGGCACCTTTCTCAGGGCGGACACAAACGCCGCCTGCGGGCTCCGTCTTCTGTCAAGCGAGCTCTGAGCTCATGTATCAGGTTGTTACAGAAACTTAGTGTCAGCCTCCAGTGTTATTAAAGCATGCTGTTAGCAAGGGCTGCGCAATACGTGGCAGCTTAGAGATGCTTGCGGAAGGTTTGAAAAACTGGTCTACAGCATGAGTCAGATTTGATACCTTGTCTGTCCTACTGCTTTTGGCATGACCCAGGTGACTTCCTCATGCTCTTCCCCTTGAGGTCATATTAATTTAGAATTAAGAGTATTTGATTAGTCACATTTGTGCTGGTTGCTTGCCACATTTCTGTGCCCCACAGTGTTAGCAAAGTTGAATGGTTTTGAGAGGGGAAAACTAGGTGCGAAAGTAAGCTTGAATATAACAGAAAGTGCAAGACTTTCCAGTGCTAGAGTTAAAGCTGCATATTTCTTCTGGTACTGGTCTTGGAGCGTTAGTAGTGTTGTGAACCTACACCCTCATTTCTAATGAGAATTTTTATTTTTTAGCTGAAAGAAGAGAACGCCAGTTTGAGAAGCAAGATCAATAAGCTTCAGATTTTCTCTGAAACTCAAGCAGACAAGTGCGTAAGCCACAGTGTGGGGGAAAGTAACCACATAAGCAAGGAGTTGTCTTAGAAGAGGTGCTCACTGGAAACAGTCAACGTCTTTAAAGAAGAAAAATGTAGTTGAAATCTATGCTATTTATTAAAAAGCGTTAACAAACCTGGTTTTCTTATTGAAAAAGGCTTGGAAAGTAAGTAGCAAGCTGACATCTGATGAGTGTGCTTGTGTGGCTTATGCTTCACGCAGTTTAGGTGGTTAGTGAAAATGAGGGTAGGGCTTGACAGGATGCATTTCATAAAGCTTCAGATTAACAAAATAGTGAATCTTAGTCTCTCTCCTTTGAAGCAAGAAAAGCCTTTCTATTTTGGCTGGTGAGCAACTTGATGTTGGGAGACTTGAATTTCCTGAGGTTAAACAACCTGGTGACCAATGCAGGGTAGCAATTTCTTAAGTTCCTGTCTGAATCCTCTGCACTCTGCGGCTCCTCGCAGTGAGGCAGCTGGTACTTCCATGGTGATGGGGTAACCATTTGTTTCAGAGTTACCTTTATCTAGACTGATTGTGACCAGCCATGTTTTCTGTACGGCCTTTCTGTGGTTCCCATTAATGCTAATGGATGTTGATCAAAGAAATACCCTGAGCCACAGCCTAGAAATGTAGTTCTGTGGGAACACTTCATTTTTCTTATAACATGAAAGAATGAGTTTCTTGATCCTTCCCTAGAATTTGCTTCCTAAAGTATTTAATGTTACAAGTGCTTACTGTACATTGTCTCTTCTTTTTTAAGAATGAGGAAGCTTGAAAAAAAGCTTGAGGAAAACAAAATTAAAGAAGAAAAAGAAGCGCAGGATTTGGAAGCAATGGTGCAGCACGTGGAACAAAATCTCCAGCTGATGACTGTAAGTGTTGGCATTTGCCATAGTAGCAGAAGCTTGTTTGCAGTGGAACTGTGTAGTTCCGTTACTTTTCATTCCTCACCCAGGAGAGTGAGGGAAGCTGAAGTGATTGCTTCACCCACGTGAGCACTAAACAGCTCTGACATGAGTGCAGATTCTTCTTTTACAACAAGACTGTGTCCCAGTCTAGAATTCCTTTCATTATCTAGAATAAGGGAGGTCTTTGCAAAAATACCGTTTTCAGATTCATCAACCCCTTCAATTGCTTTTTTGTAGCCTTCTGAAAACACCTTCTGTATGAACTAAGAGATGTTTTTCCTGCTTGCTTATTTATACTGAGTACCTTTTCCTCTTGTCCACGAACAAAATTTAGTGGCTATAGGTGATGGATAGCACTTGAAAATATCTGAAAGGAAAAATGGGGAGGGGAGGAGACAGCTGTTCAGACATGACGAGGGGCACTATCCCCATCTCGTAAAGCATTCAGAACATGAGGTGGTATAACACAAACCATATCACTTTAAGTTATGTGCTGGAATCATGCATTCCTATGTAGCTCAAACTGCCTGCTTGTCCTAAAGCACTGCCATGATATAACTAATCTTCATTCTATTTCAGAAACGAGCTGTTAAAGCAGAAAACAGTGCTACAAAACTGAAACAGGAAAACGCGTTACTTCAGGTACGAAGCAGTATTCTTAAGGCCTTGCTGTTTGTACTGGGGCTGAAAGCATACCCCTTGAAACTGAGGGGCTATTCAAGGTGTAAATAAAAAGGATATTGAAAAAGTTTAACTACGCCTCACTTTTCCTAGCGAATGTTGCAGAAAGTGTTCTAGACTAGAACATTTCAGCTCTACACTGACTGTTAACTTCATCTCTGTGACGTGTGGTACTTCAGTTAAAATTTTGCTGAAGTTTCATGTGATGTTCAAATGCTGTTCGGTATTTGGGACCTGTGAATGCTGTAATGCAACAGGGCAAACGGTGTTTAGCTGCAGGAAGGTGGCTGACAGAAGGGAGAGACGCTTGAGAGAGATTACAGATAGCTCAGCAGAGCCTGGTAGCGGTAGATGATAACATCGGTGTTGGGGAACAACGTCCATCCCCACCGTCGGAGCTGGAATACGCCACTCTAACACTGGATCGGATCTATGAAGCAAGCAGACTTGAGCCCTGCTGGCTGGCCAGCTATCATGAAAATGCTGCATACGTTTTCAGTTTTAGGAAAGGCTTCTAAGTTGTAGTTTTCTGTCAGAGACTGCTCTCCAGAGCTGGGAGGACATTCGCTTAGGCAATCTGGTTATGGGATCTATTCATTAGTTGTCGTACCTAATACATTGCTGTATGAATGTATTAATTAGTTGCTTTAGTTGTAAAGTATCTACTGGAGTTTTGTGGTTATTGTCATATAAAGGTTTTGTTTCTTTCCCCCCTAGGTTCAGCTGAAGAATTACAAGACGGAGAATGAAGCCTTGAGGTCGGGCCAGTCGGCGAGTCTGGCCGTGGTGAAACAAAACGCAGACATTGCCTTACAGAACCTTCTCACGGTCATAACGAACTCCCGCTCGTCAATCAAGTGAGTTGTTTTAAGACTCTCTTACACTATCCCAGATGCTTGTCTAAATACTGAGATCACAACTAAATGTCCCCAGTGGTGTTTTTTAGGATTGAAACTTGGGTTCTTGTATTCTGTATGCCAGATCAGCTAGTCCATGTTCTTACTTACCTGCCATGTCTTTTCTTCCAAGTTTGGGTAATAAAAATAACTAGAATGTGTAAGTCTTATTTTTTTTAGTTAATGTAAAACCGTTATACTTCGACTCTCTAAGTCTCCCCATACTTCACTTCTCTAAGACTCTCATACTTCTCTTCAAGAAGTGAAGTCTTCCGTTAAGCAAATAAACTGCTTCTTGAAAAATCACATTTCATGGGTAAACCCCACCAAAGCTACTCCTCCTCTCCTCCCCGTCTAACGCCGTGTCTCTCCCACCTTCCAGGCAGCTGGTCTCTGGAGCAGAATCACTGCAGCTCGTCGCTGATCTCCTTAAATCAATAGACAGAATTTCTGAAATGTCAGAAGATGGACAGTAGAACTACAGAACGGACTCAAACGGAGAACTTTGCTTTCATGCAGAAATCATTGCTTAAAAGTTAATTTCTGATACTCAACCTCGTTACGACGTGCGAAGCTGTCAGTGCTCCTGCAGAACCGGCTTTTCCGTCTCTACCCCCCGGGTCGCTAAAACTCGCGTGGACAAGAGTACGTCCCTTTTCCTGCCAGGCAGGGCCACGGCCCCCGCGCCCCTGGCACCCCGCGTTCCCGCGAGCCCCCGGGTTTTGGCTGGGACGCCCCTTTGCCTTTCTCTCCCCGACAGGGTGTTCCTTGCCGCGGAGGGAAAAGGGCTTGTGGCGAGTCGGCGGGGCTCGGCCTCCGGAGGCGGTTTGTAATCCCTGTC